AATTTTCGGCGGTGTATTAGCAAATTAGTCAGCCGCACGCCGCGGCCGCTCGCGCTGCGTGTGCGTTATTTTATTACGTATGATCGCTATATTTGCGCTAACTGAAATATGCGTCGCGTGTCGCTGCGCGGCTTTCGCATCAATCGATCGCTTGGCCTTCCCTTTCAAAGGACGGTCACTCCAAACACTTTCGAAACTAGAAGCCAAAAATCAGGGTGTAATGTCGGTGCACTAGCACTCCGAAAAAATCGCCCACCTATGATTCGCCGTGTGACCCTTCCCCGTCAAAAACATGTGTTTTTATGCTTCCCCAAGCCAAGGTAATCGCCGCTGGCTTTTTGCCAAGTGTGTGGGGTGAGAAGGGCTACCCAAATTCCTGTAGGTGTGGGATTTTTCAAGGCGAAAAACGTGTGCAAACCGCGGTTTTTAGCGCTTTTAGCCGTTACGTTACGGTGTCCACGCGGTAGGTCGGCATATGCTTTGGTAATGCGCTTCAATGCGCGTGAGATATTTCCTGCCCGAAAAAGGTGTGTGCGAGGTATTTTGGTGGTAGTTCCGATGGGCTTGTCAAAGCATAAACACCAAAAATTTCAAGTACATATGGTTTTAAAGACCGTCAGAACGATGAAATTCCGTCAAAGTACGAAACTTGCGCACCGGGCGGGGGTCGAACACGCGATGGTTCGCTCCACAGTCCGGTGCGCTAGCCAATACCACAGGGCCAAGTGGTGATGGCGAATCAGAGGCGCCCCCGAACCCCAGAGGGCCTTTGCTCAATACGGGGCACCACTAATGACGCCTCTCTCCGCGCGTCCTTGGGGCCGCCACCCTTCCGGGTGACCGTGTGCGTTCCAGTCTTTAAAGGATGGAAAGTATACGCGTTAAAGGAACGCTCTAGAATCTTGTAAGTACCGCGGCACTCAACGCGCGTACCTCACCGTTTGGCCTCGAAAAGCTGTCGTAATGCATTGCGCTAGGGAAATGCGCCACGCGTTGCGTCGCGCTGACCCGGCAAAATTCACTGGAAGGCTACAGACGACAAGGCATTTTTTTTTTCTTGCGCGTCTTTTGAATAAAACACAACTTTTCAGGCGCAAAGCTGAAAGACGGCCAGCTGGTGAACGTCATCTACCGTCAGACGTGGATCCCCTTCTTGGCCACCACTTTTTTCGTCTTTTCAAATTTGGGGGTTGTGACGGAGAGTGAGTTGTAAAAAGGATTCAGACGGAATATTCCTGATGGCCTAACAACTCTGAAAATGTTATCGGTTTCTAGTGTACGAAGTGCCGGTTTGGTTCTCGCGACCCGCCAACATCTACGCCGTGATTGGCACTACACTTTTTATACCTTTAATCACGCTAATTATGGTAGGTTCGAACGGCTATGGAAGCGGGAATCATACAGGGTGTCCCAAAAAAATCGACCCCCTCTAGCGGTCCGGAGAAAGGCCGGAGCGGCATGATTTTTACACCATTCGAAAGCCCTTGAAACGGCGAGCAAACAAGCGCTTTTTGTTTTACAAAATTTTTAGCTTGCGCTCGATATTTAACGATTTCTGAAAAAAGACTAAAATCAGTTGCTTGCTTCAATTGCTTTAGCAATCAATTAACATGCTGATTTTGCATAAAATTTGCCGTTTTCATGGATTTTGGTCCTAAATTTAGTGCAGAAAAGGGGCTATATAGAAAAACGCAAAGTGCTTGTTTTCTCGCCTTTTCCAGAGCTTTCGATAGATACCTAAATCGTCACAATCGGACATGAGTGCGGCCCGCTAGAGGGGGGTCAATTTTTTTGGGACACCCTGTACTCTCGTGAAGGGACGTTGGTGTAGCGTAGAGGTTGTCGTCAGACGTGGTTTTGATCGAAAAAGCACAATGTTTATTTCTATCGCGTTTTCTCATCATAAATTTGAATCCAAAATCCTCCATTTTTAGGCAAGCAAAGTACGAGCGGCTGCCATGACGACGTTCGGATGCGGCCGGTGCATCAAGTTTTTTGGTGTGACCCTCCCACGTGACCGCTCGAGCAGCAAAAACAGCAAGGCGGCCGTGAACGTTGTAAAGTCCATTAAATGATATGAAAATCCTACTATATATAAAAAAATAGTGTCTGTGTGTGTGTTGTGTATATTTGCATGCACTTCCGTTTGGATGTTCCGCTCCTACAGCCTCGGGGAAGGGTTTTTTGGATAGGGAAGAAACGACAATAGGTTTAGAATGGTCCGGAATCGACTGCACACACATAAAAATTTTGAAAAATTGCGGTTTTCGCTATTAAAAATAGGTTTTTGTAAAACCCTGTTTGTTAGGGGAAATTAGCATGCGCCGGAAGTAGGAAGAGCCTATATAAAGGGACAGAGGAGCCGTTTTTCACTTTTTTCTTGCTAGAATTCAGGAAGAAACATGCAAATTAAGGACTTTCACAGGTCCTGGACGGGGCCAGGGTTGAAAAGCCGCGAAGCGGTTTTTCAACCCTGGTACAAAAATAAAAAGTCACCGATTATCATTTCTTCAGACCGTCTTTATTATCGCCGTCAAAGCGTACAACGAAAACTTCATCTAGTAGGCAATGTTGAAAATCGCGGTTATTACGGTGGTGATGGGACCAGGGAACCTGGAAGATTAATGTAATTTAATAACACGTTTATTTCCAGTTTCAATACCGTAAATAGGTGCTTAACGTACCTCCACATCACAAAGAAATTCAAGTTCCCGGCAACGAAACCGAGCGTGTAAAAGAGAAGGCATAAAGAAAGTCCGGTTTCAGAAGCTAGACCGCGGAACCAAACCGATAGCTAAATTTTCGGAAGCTTTAAGGTAATAGTTACGTTGTTACCTGAAATTTCGAGGTATTGGCCTTTTGCGGGCATTTGACCACAGTTATTGCCTGATTTTTCGCTGGGGCTGCGAAGATTCTTGATAGCTAAAAAATTGTGTGTTTTTTTCGATTTCATAGACTAACACGTCTAGCCCCAGCCATTGAATGCAATTTCAAGAGTAGGATAAGATCAGCGATAAAGAGCGAGGCAACAGCGAGACCCTAAAAATTTGCTCAGATTAAAGGCATTTAGAAGCCAAAAAATCGACCCCGTATCCGGCTAGGTCTCGACAGCCACGTGAAACAGCAGTGCAAGTCGATCTCTGTGGATTGCCAAAATCAGCTTGGGCCCAGCTTGACGCGGAACTTATGTCTAGACCTAGTGGATGGAAGGGGTCGGTTCTGGCATTTCCTAGCTCCTTTAGGCACGGAATGCAAAAGTAAAACTATTAAAAAAATCATGTTTACCTGTAGTCCGTACCCGGCTACCACAAAATACAGATATCCAGGCTTCTCCGGGTCCAGGTTCCAATAAAAGCCGGGCACAAAATATTTGAAGCCACAGCAATCGAAGAGCAGAATTACGGCCAGTGCTAAAAATTCGCAAATAAAAAGCTATGGCGCAAAGGTATTGAAAAATTACCAAGAGCAGGTAATAGAAAAACTGCGATGATGCAGCATGCAGATGCAGCATCGCTTTCGTAGTAATATTTTGATATTGTATCGGCATGTGAACGACCGCGAAATGGCATATTGCCAGTAGTACGGTAAGAGTAAGCTGTCCGTACCAACGGAAAGCACTTATGAATACCTTGATGTTGACAAAAATCGGAGCTAAAAACCGCTCTATTTAGGGGTGTTTCTGCTCACCATAAAGCTCTTGCTCGTACCACTGGTCCGGGTGATCATGAATCATACGAAATATATTGTCCATTAAATCAGTAATTAGACAAAATTGTATAATCCGATACATTGGTAGTAATTTTTTTGCGTGAAACATGGCAAATAGCCAGAATGTTTCGACTGCTATCAGCAGCAAATCGATGATAAATATTACGATTAATTCGGCGCTCAACATAGACCGCACATTAATAGTAACATCACCGGGGATTTTTAGGATGCTGCACGAGCCGTTTTCGGTAGATCGGGAATGGCAACTGCCACACTAGTATCCCTAGTCAATAACGTGGTGTACTTGGCGTGTTTTGGCTAAAAATTACTCCGGTACCGGTGCGCACAATAAGCCATAAAACGAATTCAGCCACTAATTCGACCTGCCGCTGCAAGACTAGAGCATTTTTTGGGCGATACCACCCCCACAACTTCCGCCTCGTATTGAATTTTCTCAGTGGGAAATCTATGGAAGGCCAGCGCGATGGCGCTACGGTATGGTGTTCTAACCGTTCCCGAGCTGAAGCCCAGCGTAGCTTCGCGTTGCCAGTATCAATTTTGCAGGCCGCTTTTTCGAGGCGACATTCGAAATGGTTTATCTTCATTTTGTCGAAAAATCAATTCGTCGTTACTTCATGTTGCCGGAATAAAATTTTGCCAAGACAATTGAAAAAAAACATTTTTAGGTCTAGCCTCTTTAGGGTCTGGCCTGGCTCCAAAATTTACACCATGTACGTAGAGAAGCGCGCCATTTCCGTAAAGAGGATTTGGCAGTCGAGAGAGTACATATGTTGTAATGTATTTTCAGTACGATGATGCAAATTTGGAATTTATAAATTAACGAATGATACAATTATGGCATGCTGAGGGTTATGACGAGAAGTGCAGCAAGGGCCGTTTCAATGCCTAAAAACATACACGAATTTTTACGAAACTCTGGCTAAAACAAATTCTTTACAGGATTTTTCCTACCCCTTGCAGAACTAGGAGACCAAAAAGTGTCCTCACCACTCGAGTATCTAAACATACAATAGTGTTTGTAAATTTGGTTTGCCTTATAAAAATATTGTGTGCGCATGCATCTGGAATTTTTAAATTAAGTTTATATAAGATCTCCATACAAACAAAATATCAAGTGGAAAGTTGTAAAATAGTAAGCAATTGCGTAAACTAAGAGAACAGATGTCATAAAAAGCATTTCAGCGACCGGTTTCATGACAAAGTGAGATGACCCACGAGTTTAAGGCAAAAATATAAAGGAAGAACAATAATATAGCAAAAGAAAAGCACTATTCGCTAGCCTTGAACAATTCACTGAGTTTGATGATGTTATGCTTGACCGTGTTAATGTATTGTTCAAGTTCTTCTGTAGGACTGTAACATCCTTTACAGCCAATTTCGTGCTGTTTCATTCGATCCTTCTCTGGCGTAATTTGTTCATAGGCGAGGTCAATGTTCGAAAGCAAATCCCACTTTGTCAGGGATTTTCTGGCCACCTTCATACGAGTTTCTTCATCGCATTCTTCCAATGCGTCAATGTGGCCGCTGTTCCAGTAGACAGACGAGTCGTTGTTCAGGAAGGCTCGTTTTACATTTACGAATGTAAAAAAGGCTTTGGGCATGAAGTCAACAATTGCCACCTCCTTCGTGTCCTTCCAGTAACCTAAACAAAGTGTTTTTTTGTGTTTATAAACTATTAAAATTTATACTTGAAACTGACCACAATTGTCAGAATGCAGATCGTTGATGAAAAGGAACTTGGCGAGTAGGAGAATTTGCACCAGAACATCGGCACCAACGGCTTCTTCTATGTTGCCGGAAAGGGGGACGAAGTTGTCTTCCCATCGGGTGGCGATGTACCTAAAGTGTATGAAACGTTTCAATCTGAGAAGATTCAATAATAGTGAATAAATATTCTTACAATGAAGTTTTGCTGCCAGTCAATCTGTTCGGCAGGATGAACTGAGCCTGTGGTCCCACTTGGATCAGCTCCAACAATTTGTAGCAGAATATCCCCTTGATGTCTGGAAACTGGCCTTGAGCTGAGCTAGTTGACGAACCAAAGTGATGGCACCTAAAACCAATTAATGGTTAAAGTGTTTTAAATTAGAAAAAATCATTTTAACAGTTAAAATTGTCGAAAAGGAATAGCAATCCCGCACTATTAGGAATAAATCCCAATAATGCCCACGCGAGGGATTTGCCACCTATTCCTCCTACGACCCTTCACACTGCCCTATACACGGGTAGTCGGGTCAGTGGAGGTCTGTAAGACTAATATATGCCAAGAAGATGACACCTGCAGACCATGAATAAGATCCAATGCTATTACCACTAATAGAAGACGTAGAGATAAGAATGGTTTATTAGTAGAATAGAAAGAACACCGTGAGGAAATACACAAGGCCAGGGAACCTGGAGGTAATACAAATGGGGGCGGAAAGAGCTCTGGTGGTAAGACGAGATGGGGATCTACGGGGATAGGAAACACCTTCCGGTTAACAGGTCGCTATGGGCAGATTAACCGCCACACAGCTCCTATTCAATCCCCGACCGGCCATAGATATGACCGGCGGCAACGACTCCCTTTGGAAAGGGAAGAAGTGGCCCGAAATGCGGGGAGAGCCTAGGCCGCGCGATTTACCTACCGTAGTAGGGTCGCTGCGAGACCCCCGGGGAAAGGCCGCCCGCCCCCACAGACCAAATAAACCTCGTAAGTCATGTACTTTGTACATAACTTTCGACACTCCCGGCCCACAAGAAGCCGAGAGGTCGCGCCTTGTAGAGGCCCGTCAGCCGCGAGGCTTCAGGGGCTACTAGGGTCTGGACCAGGGAAGGACTGTGTTGTGCTTACATTGATCACACCAGGGTGGTGGTCACAACTTGGACGGGTACCTGGTCCAGTCTAGTGTAGGTTGGAAGGCGTGAGGTAACTTGGAATGCAGGAGAGAGTGGTGGGACCTGGGCCCCGACGAAAAAGGTGGTGAGACCTATACCCGAGATAAAGATAGGTGGAGGTTAGAGCTCTACCGCACAAAGTAAAGTGGAGGGGTAGGGCTGGGCTGGGTATAAGACATCACGGCACTTTCTGGAGCGGGAGGGGCCGAAAAGTAAGGTTAGATCCTAGGGGGTGGGGCTCAAGAGACAAAATGAGGGAGAGGGGAAGCTAACCGACGCTAAGGAGCCCGAACTCCTGTCGGAAAGCTGGGGACAACACGTACTTGGTTACTGCTTGCAGGATGGAGACGTGGGCACGGCGTGGCGCTTGATCGACTTGTCGTCCTTGACTTGAAGTGCTTGATGTCGCGCTTGACCGGCTTGAGGTAGTGCTTGACCAACAGTGGCGGCTTGATGATGAGCTTGACCAACTTGTGCAGAGCTTGAGTACTTGAGGCAGCAGCAACCACGGCAGTGAAGAGGCCGTTTCTGAGTGTAAACGAAAATATTGAGAACTGGGTGTGGACGGGGAAAGACCATTGCAGTAGCTGTGTGTAAACGTTGGCGGGGAGGGAAGGGCGAGAGAAAACTCCCACCACTCACTCGCTCCTGCTCCAGGCGTCTGTGTATTTGACATCTGACTCACGTGGTCAGGAATGCCAAATTTCGCCGCTCTATGAGCCGCTTGATGAACTGGGGGTTTGATCTCCCTGGTGATTCATCAATGTCTGACGCACTTCCGCTTTTTCGACTTTTTTATTGCCCGTTCAAAATGATAAAAATTTAAAAAAACAAAACAATTTCCGGCCGGGCCAAGCAAGTCTGAAACGGCTGCCGACGGCATGTGTCGCCCCCCCATCAACAAATTGGCAAGTAGCCAACAGGGGAGAGAGAGCGCCCTGGAGGAGAGGCGCAGACATTTTCTTTCCAGCGCGTAACTGATTGACTATCCCCTTAATAACATTCGAATCTGGCACACGAAGCGTTAGGGTACAGAAAGCGTGTATTGCCTTATCAAGAGTTTATTCTCCTACCCACTAAAAACGCCCCCACACCACTCCATGAGCAAGGTCTTGAGATCTCACATGGCGAATAGACATAGTACTTCAACCACCACTAGCGAAATGTCGGTAACAAGATCAAGGATCCAAGAACGTTTTTTTAGTTGCTCATTGAAAAATTCTGAGCCAGCTCAGTACAATACACCTCAATGGATCAAATTTAAATGAGAGGGAAACGATACAGCTTAATCAAATCCCTTAGCAATTCTTGTATGTTTATCCATTCGACATAAATCCCAGAATTGTGCAAATTCAGTTTGTTTCCGTTAGCAATAGAGGGGCCCTCACTTGCTCAGCAGCGCTTCGGTGGCCGCTTCACTGTGTGCTGGGCCTACAAAAACACCAGTTGACGCTTCCCAAGGTTTTGAAAAACATCATTGGTACTTGTTTAAATGCATTCGCCTCTGATTTTATCTTTACCTTATATTTTTAATGGTCATTTAATGTTGAGCGTAGCTTACCGATTGCTGTCAACTTGACGGTAAAGTCATAGTCCATGCCACAGCCGTAATGATTTGTGCAAATCGAGACAAGAACGCGGTTTGTGTGACTGTGGTATAGCTCAACGAAATCCTCTAAATCCTCCCGAGCGGGGGGCCCGGGTTCGACCCCTCCAAAAAAACGTCCCTGAACGTGCCCTTTAACCCTCGCCCCGTCTGATCTTGTGATTTACTTCACTTTGCATAATGCTTCGATTTCCAAGGACAAAAAATGAAAATCGCACACTTTCACTTAAAAACTTAAAAGAATTACCCTTAAAACCGTTTGTTGCTAGTCTAGCTAAGCTAATACAAAAATAACGGTTTCCCGGGATGAAGTGTAAAACTGGGCCAATTGAAGCACAATAAACAGCAGTGTAAGGAATTGTTTGCAAAAGCACTCTGCGGCCACAAAGGACAGTAAATTATACGAGGATTCATTTCAAAGATATACAAATTTATTTGTCAGTATTAACAAAATATGGGTAACAATCCTCATCGAACATCCACCAGGTATTCGTTGGGGTTGATGGTTGGTCTAGAAAAAGTAGAGCTTTCGAACATCCATATCTTCTTTGCTTTTCAATCCCTTTGACATGTAAAGCTCACCTCACGATATCTACTCTTTCGTCGTTTCGGCGAAACCTCGAGATAATCGGTGTCAGAAACGGGATTGACGCCTCGGATCTCCAGTGTCGATATCCGACATATGCCGGAAATACAGCACCGCACAGCGCTAATATAACTATTAACCACATCCCATAACTGGCTGGTGGTGCTTGGTAATCTACACAAATTATAGCGCTTAAAAACTTTGCTGACCATTTGTTATAGTGATCTTAAAGCCATCGGCCGTTCCTGCCGGTCCGGTCATAAATCGTATGCGGAGTGTTTCATTTGAAAAGTAGCGTACAGCACCGGATGTGAGAGGGGCATATCTACGCCGAGGAATTAGATTTACTAGAGGTATATGTAATCTACCGTATCCTCCCGTACTCGCCAACCTTACTGCCGGTCAGCAACAAATCGCCGTCCCTTTCCAACTTGATTTCGGAGCCGTTGATCTAAAAGTTGTGTGAAAAAGTCGAATTCAAATAAAGATTCGAAGGTGTAGCTCTATATTTTTAATGATATGTAAAATAGTCAAAAAATCGTAATACCTTAAAAATATTATATACCTTAAAGCCGGGAGCACCAGGAGCGGCTCGGAAAACGAAGAAACAATCCAGCATGTCACAATATCTAAAAAACCCAGTTTCAAAGAGAATTTTGGCTTCCGAATGCAATAATTAAATTTGAATACATTGAATACAAGCTGCAAAATACAAATTTAAAAGGTTATTCTTATGCTTTAAAAGATTAAGCTAGAAAAAATAGCGACCTTTTGGGGTATCCCGGCGACTTCAAAACAAATTCCTCCCCATTTGCCAAAAATTGATGAGAAGCGTTTTTCCAGCAACCGCATTCTGCATTTAGAGATGTTTGTATGTACTTTAATAACGTATTATAATTTTGCCAAAGCTGTATAACTTTGAAAAGCTGCCTAACTCACTCGGCTTGGCCATCACCTTCACATAGAGATGTTCCAACACCCCGGAACTGTCCTCGGCTTCAACGACGGTTTTGACGGAGGAGACGTGCAGGTATAAACGCTTTGCTAGTCTAAATGGAAGAAGTTAATGGCCTCTGCAATTTGGACTAACTTGTAGTGCTCCGCATTCTGACTCGATTCCCAGTAACCCATCCCGATCCGGTCGGGGTGCAGGATTCGTTCGGTCACATCGACGATGGGCCTAGGAGATCGTGTTTTTGCAATAGTCTCAAAAATTTGATATTGTCGCGTTATTTTTAGATTCTTTCGACACCTTTCGATAAAGCATCAAGCAATATACCTAAATTTTGGATTACAGCTCGACCTAATGTAAAATAAAATAGTTATGCTCATAAAAATTAATGTTTGAGAGCGGTTTGAAATATTAGTTTGCTGTTTTTCGTTAGGTGTTTGACGGTATTTTAAAATACGATTTGATAGAGCATCAAAAAATATCCCATGCTCTTTAATTTCAGCCGAAGACAAGGCACGATGAAATACGGCACAAACAAGCAAAATTCGGTACCACTGTTCGTAATGGCAAGCCGCAAAATAAGCGAAACTTACGAGCCCGGCATCATCGTCATACGTAAGTCCACTTTTTCGTCGTAATTTGCCTTGCTGCGGTCAATCAATATATCCATATCGTGGTCATGATCAACCGTAAATTGTATCCAGCAGTCCATTGGAGGGCAATGCTTTGGCGCCAGCACTTTGTATGCGTTCGCCCATTTCTTCGGGTCCGATCCGGCATCCAGCAATAAGCTGTCGGAGTCCTCGAAACAGCGACACGCTAAAAATTGTAAAAAAAGAAAATGACTAGATTGTCAAATAAAAGTGTCAATTATTTGAGAAGTTATTCCGCCTTTATGTTAAAAATTTTCACCAATGCAAGATTTCCGGTTAAATTTTCACTTTTTGCTCGTTTTCTCTGTGGGAATTGACTGGCATAGCGCTTTGCAGGCCAAAATATGCGTTTACCACAGCGTTCAGAGCCCTAAGAAAAATGTTCGTCGGGCGGGGACAGGATGGGGATAGCGAGAGAGTGCGCGGGGGTGGAGAGCCCAGAGACCCTCTCTGTTCTCTGCGTCTCTGCCCGGCGGCCTCCAGCCTCTTTTGGCCGCCGGTCGCCGCCTAAAGCGTGCCCCAACTACCATTGGCCGCCCCCAGGGTGCCTGCCCATGTGTCTGCGCTCCCCTATGGTGTACCCCTGGGGGCCCCCCTTTTCTGGACCATGTGTTACGAGACAAACCATAGTTTTTATGTAAAAAGCATAGGGAGATATGCAGGGCCCCGGTCCGACCCGCCGCCCTGCGCTTGGCAAGCAAGCACTTTGCCCATGCGCCATCGTGCCAGCTGGGCCGCCAGATGGGGGAGGCTTCATAAAGGCCTCTGCGAAAGCCTGAACGGACCACGGAGAAGTGGGCGCAGATCCCCAATTTTTGCGGTTTTTATGCCTAATTTGCACGTTAAATGATTTTTTCAATCAAATTCCGCCGAACATTTGGAAACCAAGTTCGGAAACAACAAACAATTCTGCGCAATCTTGGTCCCAAAGCGAAACTCCAAGGTTTGTTTTGATATTTACTTCAGCAACACAACAACGCCTACTTTTTGGAAGCCACCCCATCTCTAGTGAAAATGCTGCTGGGGCCGGTCCGGAGCGCACCTTGAACTTCTCGGAAAAGATGACCATGGAATGCTGCTGCTGGGCACTCCACACACTAAAATGGTGTTTTATACAGGTGTCCAAAACCCCAGTTCCTGCCTAGCGGGCCGCAGACGTGTCCGATTTTTAGGATTTAGGTATCTATCAAATTTTTCCGATTTTCGTAGTTCCAGATTTTTCTCAGCGAAATCGACCAAATATTTATTAATGCTTATCCGATCAAACGGTCTTATACAAAACCACAATGAATGAATCTTCACGCCTTTTGAAAACGCCCAATGACAGCTTTTGAAAGCCATCTGGTAAAAACATGGCTTGGATGGCGCTTAAAGGGGGTCCGAAATCTGGTGCACGGGCCCCAGCGTTGATTCCTGGCAAATAGCCAGATGCGCCGCAACGCGACCGCGTCGCACGCTCTTTAATCGCTGTTTGGAAGGGAAAAGCGTTTCGAAATTCTGACGCTATTTCTGGAATCCTCATCGAACTTTGATCATTCTAGACGTTTTAATTATGAAAATTGACCAGAGAATCACCGAGGTCGAAAGATTGGGGGCCTTAAAACGCATTACGAATGTAATCGCCGCGCATTGAAAAAGTGGTTTTCGCCGCGAAGTCATTTGCGTTTTGTGGTTTTGCACCCGGGAAAAGCGACCTAAGACCTGGGGCTTGGCAACTTGCACGTTTCCTAATTGCTAGGACGTAAACTAACGTCATAACATCATTCCATGCCTCTTCGTCGAAGCCGTCCAACTGCAGCGTGAACGCCTTGACGTGACCAACGCCTGGGGAGGCGAACATTGGGTGGTCGGGTTTTGTCTGAAATTTGGATGCGCAGATTAGCACCTTTCCGGGAGGTATACCGACGGTAGTTACGATTTACCAGGTAGTTAAAGAACACTGCCGTTCGGTGGGTGTCGTTTTTTTTGTGTTCGACGGTGATTTCAGTTGTACAGGCCCAGTCGACACATTCTCCATAGTTAAAGTGGGGGTCATGGAAACTGACTTTTCGCTCCATCTTTAGTAGGAAGGAGTTGCGGCATTGACAAGCTAAATGGATGGTGTATGTCACTTCCCGCCCCGCGCATCTCTCTCTCTCTCTCTCTCTCTCTATCTCGGTCTTTCTCTCTCTCTCGCTCTCTCTCGCTGGATAAAAAATAATTACGGCTTTCCGTCACATTTGCCATAAATTCAAAAGCAAGCGCCCCGCCGATTCGTGATTTCAAACATATCTGAACCAGCAATCGATTTGTAAACCCGTGATACAGGTCATTCTCGTACTGCTCGAGGTCGATGCCACTGCAATAAAGAGTTAGGACAATTTTGTCTAGGTTCCCACCCCTCGCAGTCGCCAATTTTTTTCTGCTCCTCGATGACGTGCAAGTCGCCGACAAAATATTTTTCGGAGCCAGTGGCTGAAACGACAGTTTGGGAGCTGTGGACAACGATGGTTTTTTTTGACGATACAACTCACAATTGGAATCCAGGGCGTTGAAGTGAACGGCTTTTCCCTCGGGTGCTACAAGGAGCAGGGAGCAGGCTAAAAGATTTCCTAGTGCGACCGTTACCTTGTAGCCTTTCCATGAATTCCAAAGTTTTTTGGTTCTGGACTGTTATCGGGCCGAGGGGGGAAGGAAATTTCTCCCAGTAATTCTCTACGGCCCTATAAAAAATAAATCCTTTTAATGGCATTTTGTAAAGCATTTTGGGTTTAAGAACATCATAAATATTCTGAAAATTTTTGACAATGTTGGACTTTTTGGTCAAAAATGGGTGCTAATGCACCTGGGGGGGCAGTCCGGATTCTGACTACAAGACGCTCCAAATGCCGTTTTTCGAAAGCCGAAGTCGCTGGAAAAGCTAAGCTACGCCTAAGCCTAGGCTGAGCTTCATACAAACGATGCCTGAGGTTAGCTTAAGCCAGGCTAAGATTAGCTCTAAGCTAACCCCTAAATGATTTAGATATATTCATCTAGATATTTTCACCTCGTAAGGCAATTTAAAGCCTAAGGTAAGTTTAGCTTCTGCCTAAGCTTAAGCATAAGTCTAGCTAGGCATAGTTAAAGCAAAGTTAAGCCAAGCCTTAGGCTGGAAATCAAGTAGCTTAAGCGGAGCGCCGGTAGCCCCTCACTGCCAATTTCGGAATGCCCCCCCCCAACTGCATTAGCGCCCAAAATATATCAAACAATATAAAAAAGGTCACATTTTCGAATTTTCAAACTAAATTTAATCCTATAAAATATATTATAGGGTCTCGCCTAGGGTCTTCAAAGAAGGTCAATTGGGAAATGCAAAGAGCTTTCGTGTAACTTTAGAAAAAATGGACCTGTCCCAATTTCTGTGATCTTTTCTTCCCTCCCCCGTTTGTTTCCGCATGTTATACAACCTCTGAACCAGTGGCACCACACATTGCCTACTCCCCACTCTTATTCAACTACTGAATAAAGTATATATATATTTCATCAGCAGGTTAAGAACAAAAACAGTAAAAGACAAAGAATGCCCCCCGCTAACAGCCCCTTTCGGTTATCATCACTCTTAAAACCTGCTCTTATTAAACACCAAAAACCTACATGCGGATATGGAAAACACAGCCGGCTCCCAATACACCCGGGTGAGTCCCGTCAATTTTTGGACTGGGGGTGGACACGGGGTAGCTTGACGCACGTTGCCTGGCACGGGTTTGGGTGCTCCTAAATTGTCACTATTCGCTCGATTTGGCTACGGTTTACTCCCCCCCCAGCCGCAATGTTTTGGCTATAGCTTTTTATTTTACGTTTTTGTAGGCTCAAACTAAAACTCATGGCATATTTTTCGACGCCCTATCGAATGGCGTGGCAAAAATCCCGACAAAATCAGCGAAAATACCGAAAACTTTGAGACCTTTCGGCTGTGGGGGAGGGGTAATGCAAAGCCTTGTCCTCGATTTTGCCTGCCTGCAGGGGGCCTTTAAAGAGTATTAGACCCACCGTCCATGGCCCGCAAATATAGTGAAAAGTGTCGCCCCTCATCCGCGTTCGTATCCGCATGATTTTGGAAGATGACCTCGAGCGTCGTGTTTACGGCCGTGTAAAACTCGATTCCGTCATTTTTGCGAATACTAGGTAATGACAATACTTCGAACTCCAGGGCGTTACAATGCTCGCGGGATACGGTAGGTGATTCCCTCCAATTCGTAGATTTCCCGGACCTCCAACCAATCATTGGCACCGTCGGGGAATTCGGCCCGGGCGTCAAGGCGCAGAAAATAACCGGGGAGTGGGGTTATCTAAAAATGGTAAAAGGCTGTTTGCCAAAGAATCGAACTAGGTTTGTCAGTTTTTTCGACCCCGGTTTCTTGGTGCAATCTGAAAGAGCATGCTTGAATCAGTATGACTGCATATTTTATAAGTGATAGGGGATTTTGGCAGATTGTTGCGACTGCTTTTTAAAGTCACCAACCCACCAGATATGTACAATTCCAGCCATGGCCATAATTCAGGCCCGCGCCGTTTTCCGGAAAAATGTCCACAGACCCGTTCAGCCTATCGATCACAATAATTCCGGAATCGCATTTCCAAGGGTGTTGTATACTTTCCGTCAACTCCTCATCATCTGCGTATTCGACTAAATAAGGATAAGGTGTTTTCGGCAAAACTTAGTTCCCACCCCCCAGCGGTACCTTCCCAAATATTTTTCGCTATGATTGTTTATTTTACATTACTTTGGCTGCAACTAAAATTCTGGTTACCGTATTTCCTCTAATATAACCATGGGGTTATATTTTTTTCGATCACCTGAGGGGAAGGGGTTATATATTTTTTCTGAATATATTTTTCGTGATCTTGAGCACTTACAAGGATTTTAGCAACTTAAGCTGCTCACACCACGCGGGAACATAGTACGAAGCTTTAACAGAAAATTTTTGATAGTTTTTAATTCTCAATGCAACTTCGGAAAAATTGTTTCTGGGGTTGGGAAGGTAAATTATGGTAATCAAAGTCTAGCCGTAATTTCTTTTGATAAACTAACTATTTTCCGACTGATACGCCGCGACCACCAATAGATTAACAACTAGCGTAGTAAATATAATTTGTATTAGCTGCCGCAACATGTTCCAAGCGCCCACGCCGGTTGGTTGTTTCCGGCTTTTCGGGAGCTGCCACTAACACCCCGATAGTTTATAAACTGGGACTGGTGATGGGTAACAAAAAAAAGCTAAAAGTGGGAGCTGGTTGCGAGCAACTGTCAGGAAGAGACGGGTCCTAAAAAGTATCAAAATATGCAACATTGGCCAAACAAACGACTGGCACTCCAGATTTCGGGTGATCCGTTTTAAAAAGAGCGTCCAAAAAAATCCAAATGAGCGTTGCTTTAGTAAAATGTAAGGTGAAGCATCTATGGAATAGTGCTAGTCGGCTTATCTAATTTCCTACATCATTAACATCTTCAAAACTTTGAATTTCCCACGTTGCAATCGGCTTATAAGCCATGTATTTTAGGTATGGTTTCGTGTCCCACGTCAATGAGACAGCCCAAAGCGGCCAGTGCAAACTTTTTATTTAACATGATGATTCTTTTCCCTGACGTTGGCGGTGAATTCAAAAGCAATCCTGTCGGTGTCCCCTCGCCCGAAGCAAATCTGCACCAGGAGTTGCTTCGAGAGCCCGTGATACCGGCCATTCTCGTTCCGCTGCAGGTCGACTTCCCTAGAACGATGATTTCCAGGGTCGCTGCACAAATAAGCGCCCACCCGCCACAATCTCCAAGGTTTTTCTGTTCTTCTATCACTCGCAAATCGCCGACGAAGTAGGTTTCGGTAGCATTGGCTAAAACGTGGATTTGAGAGACGAGGGAATCGGGTTTCCCCTCAGGTTTTCTGACTCACCGTTCGGATCCGGGCCATCAAACTGGACAACTTTGCCCTCGGGAGCCACGAGGAGCATTGAACAGGCTGAAAATTCAAGTTAAGTATCCGTCGAAGATGTGGTCGAACTATATGTGGTCTCTTTTAAGCAAAAGACCGAGAACTTTGAGACCCTTCAGTTGTGAGGGGGGGGAGGGTAAAGTAAAGTCTTACCGTTTTTGTGATTATTTTTCTGATTTTTGTGATGTACAATGATTACCAGAAACTCACCGATTGTCATGAGGTGATAGATCCCAGTCGTTTCTGAGAAGACTCGGGTAGACTGGGTCAATTTCCGGACTGGTGGCGGACATGGTTGGGCTTGTAGTTCCTTGGCTCTTCCCGCTGTCGCAGAGCCTTTAAATATATTTTTAGGAGCCTATTGTCAAACACTACCATCATGCGCCTCGAAATGCATTGAAAAAGTCCGCTCTCCATCCGCCACATCGTCTTCATCATTTTTGAAGTTAATCTCAAGCGACGTGTTGACGGCCGTATAAAAGAAGACAGCACCTTGTCCGCGAACACTTCATTTGTGTTTTGCGGTATTTAATCAGAATTAACAACCCTACAAGGCGCGTGGGATACGGTAGATGGTGCCCTCGAGCTCGTAGATCTCACGGATCTCCAGCCAATCATTAACGCCCGCCGAGAATTGAGTTTTGGCGATAAAGCTGAGGAAATGGCCGGGAAGTGGGGTTATCTGAAGAAACGTGAAAGTTGTATATAAGTGCTTATTAAATTATTAACCGACCAAATAAGTGCAATTCCACCCGTGACCGTATTTCTCGCCTTTCCCGTTCTCCGGATAAATATCCGCGGTTCCATTAAATCCGTCGCGCACGATGATTCCGGAATTGCATCTCCATGGATGTTGTGTGCTTTCGGTTAGTTCAGAATTGTCTTTGTACTCTACTAAAACGACGAATTACATATGATGATTATTCTTTAAAAATTTGATCGGAAAAGCGTGATTTTCTACAGTTTTCCCGGGGCTGGAATTGAAATGCGCTGTGTCTTCTTATAAAGAATTAACTAACCGCTTTCTGGCTGGTACGCCTCTGCCACTAACAAACTAACAAATAGCGTAGTGAAAGTAATTTGTATGTGCTGCCGCAACATGATCAACGCGACCACGCCGGTCGCCGTTTTTCGGGCCCTGCCGCTAACACCCTGATAGTTTATAAACTGGGACTGGTGATGGGTAACAAAAAAAGCGAAAGTGGGAGCTGGCTGTGAGCAAATCTCGGAAAGAAACGAGTCCTAATAGGTATCAGCTTCGTGAGTGATAACTGACCGTGATCAGTAAATTTTGAGGTAGCGTTTCAAGCCCTGAAATGAAATGAAATTAGCATTAGCAAAAAACGTATGCTATAAAATCGCTTGTAGCGTAGTGGCAAAACAACCGAAGTGAATGATTGGATGGTCGGACGCGTCCGTAAACTAAGCTTTTAATAATTTTCAACCCCCGGAAACTCTAAAATAGTCTGCTTTCGTGAGGTTTTTACCGCCGTGTCATCAGCTGATTCACAAAAATACGCCTGGAAAAAAAACCAAACGCGACGCCCCATTCGTGTGTCATTTCCTAAGCTATGAAAGAACAATTCTGTCTCCTTCTAACCATTTTCGTATTTTCTCAAGCTTTTTATGGGGAGCAATTGGTAGCCGATGATCTTCTTGTGCCAGCCCCAATCCCTGCATTTCCTGTCAATAGGTAAAAACGAGTTTTGATAGCTTATTGAGTTCCAGTTATGATGTCATCGTCGAAGGGGAATTACGCTGCCATCAAAAACCGGCAACCGGAGTGGAAATCCATCTCGCGGGCAGTGAGTTTGTGTCGGATGTAAAAACGAAGATCGACGATAACGGCCGCTTTTATTTAAACGGGTAAGATGATTAGTCCCCAATTTCTTAGACGCAGCCTTTTTTAAAGACGCAATTTACGATGCATCGCAAATTTTAGCTGAGGTACCATCAAAAAAGCCATCTAAAACAAAAAAAGTTTTAGTACGCTCCATGTCACCTCTTTCCCACTGTTTCAACATCCGGTCGTTCGGATTTTACATTCTTGCTCGAAGCAGGTATTTTATTGGCTTTTTGATACCTTTAAAAACTCATTTGTCCAGTTTTGCAAAGTCCTCAGCACGATTCCGGTCGAAAAACGATACTTGAGTACAGGAGAGGTAGCTTAAGTTTTTTCCACGCCGATCTAACCTGAGTTTTTATTTTCCAGATAATCTTACTACTTTAAGAATTATGTTTCTAGGTGCTCGTCATATCCCGCGAGCTCTCCGTCCACTACAAAGGTGACAAGTTGAAATGCTCGATTAGGGAGCAGCTATTGGAAGGTTTTGATCTTGACGACGAATAAATTTCGAACCACGCGAACCTTGGCTCTCGGAAAAAACACCATTTAGAGCAGTCTGAATGGCCTTATTGAGTTTTTCTTATCACCCCGGGGTGGGTCGGCGGACGGCGGAGTTTATCAGCTTCTGGTCTCCGTGAAGCCTAGATTTCACCCTCACACGGCTCCCAGACATTTCCTCAACCGGCAACTTTCAAAATCGAGGTCGATTTCAGGCTTTTGCTCTTAATTTCGATAAAATACGCCTTTTATAAAGTTGCTACCGAAATTGTTCTAGCTATTTTACCCAAGTCTTGACAAAAATTGACGTCAAAAGCCTATATTCTCATCGATTTTTTGCCTCATAAAGCCAAAATATGTTATTTTTCGGGACGCTCTCATCTCTCTAAAAGCCTCCCCGGTGCTGAAAAGCAAAAATAACCTGACTGAAAACAGCTTTTTTATAAAAAGCACTAATATTTGTCGTGGTCTCTCGGCGGAACTATGTATTCGTCATCGCCGCCTGCCTTTTTTTGCCGCTCACGATTTCGAGCCATTTCGATTGTATTTTTCTTGGTCGCAAGAAGTTGAAGCCCTTACGGTATATCCGGTTTTTTTGCGATTACGATGACCTTGAAAATCATGTAAAGAATCAGAATCGCAAAGGGATCTATCCTGGAATCTTCACTTTGAACTCAAGGAGTACTTCTGAAGCTAATTTCGTCTGGACTTGTTGAATTTGGCTGTTTTTATTTTATTTTCGTTATCAAGTTGATGTGTTTTTTGTTGACGAAGCCTGGTGTCGAAGCTTTTTAAGGACTATTAAAGGGATACTCGTCCGAAAATCAGATTCGAAAGACAGAAGAAGGAAGGAAAAATTAGTGCGATATTCGACGAGCATAACGCCTATTTCCAAACAAGAGAACCCAAGAAAATCCCATTAATGCTTGGTCAATCCTATTCAAATCAAAAGGTCAAGCATCGTACGGAAGATGACACCATTTCAAATGCAAATCCAGTTCATTAGTGTGGGGCCGGGAATTACCCGTCTCGCGGCCCCGTTAATCGCCTGCAATTAGCCCTCAGGGCATCAAAAGCACCATGGCGGGCAACTTCACCTGCGCCTCGCCGGTCCAGATGTCCATCGATTTATCCCGGAGGTGGTGCCCGCGCGAAAACACAACCATTCCCATTCATTCTGACTCATTCTGCCCGAGTCTACCCCATCCTCGGACTTTTGCCCCTTGCCAAAACCCCGCGCCAACATGCTCACCACACCCACCACGCTCTACAACGCTTTTGGGACCCCCGAGATGCTTCAGGTGTGTTTTGAAATGGTTCTAGCTTTGCTTTCCTTTTTTAAACATTTTTAGTTAGATAAGCGTTTTCTGAACTGATAGGTTACTTTTAATTTTTTGTTGTAGCCTCATTTAGGTCCAAAACAGTTTTGTTTTTTTCAACTTTTTTTTTGTTTTTGTGTTTGTTGTTCAGCTTCTGTGCGCTTCTCATTTCAAAAAATAATTTTTTCGTATCCGAAAAATTAGTTTTTATTGGGATATTTTATACTTTCCTGGGTCTTTCAAAGGCTTTCTGCTTCGTAAAACCATTTACTGACCTAAACTCATTACTAAGCTGCAGAGCATAGCTTTTTCGCTTCATAAGTTGCGGGTTTTTAAGGCTTTTCGTCGCTAAAACTGGTTTTTCGTTTACCTCGACAGATTCGTTGGATATTTGCTGTTTTCCTAGTGTCATTTTTGCGTTCTGGCTCTAAAATTCAGTATCTTCCTTGAAAAATGCGGATTTTAGGTTCCTTTAACATAGAAATTAACATAATTGTAAATTTTTAACGATAAAATGTTAATCTATGTTTTTCTTCAGGCGCAAGCCTCGCCTCCATCAAGCGACGAGTTCATCGGCTCCGGCTCTCGGGATACCACCCTGACGAAGCTGTTCGTCGGCGGCCTCAGCTATCAAACATGCGATCGCCGCCTACGCAACTACTTCGAACAGTTCGGCGACATCGAGGAGGCCGTCGTGATCACCGACAGACAGACGCAGAAGAGCCGGGGATACGGATTCGTGACGATGCGTGATCGTGTTGGAGCCGAGCGCGCTGCGCGGGACCCAAATCCGATCATTGACGGAAGGAAGGTAAAGGTTTCCTAGGTTTCCATACTTTATTGTTTTAGTGCAACGTCAACCTGGCATACCTTGGTGCGAAGCCGCGCGGGAATGTCACTGTAGCCGCTGCCGCTCAGGCTCACATCCAGACGCAGGCTGCGATCCAGGCTCAGCTGCTGTCCTCGCAATTTTCGGTTCAATCGCTGATGAACCCGGCGCTGACTCCGGCTTTCCTCAACCTGCATGTAAGTTTGAGTTTTAGTTTTGGTATGATAATATTAAGCTTATTCGATAGAGCTTCAAATTCTGGGCCATTCACAGCTTTGTAAAACTATTGAAAAACTACTGAACAATAACGCTCGGCGAAAAAGCTGGCTCGAAATTTTGTTAGACGGAAATGGAGGCAAATGAACAAAATCGGCTGCTTCCTAACAAATCTTCGCAAAGACTGTTATTTTCAGCACTTTTAAAGCATGGGTTTTTGTTCAGGCTTTGAAGATCTATCGAATACGCTTTGTAGCTCTTACTTAGTTTTTTTTGTATAATTCCAAGCTTAATTCCCATCTTCATTTTTCAGATGCTCCGCCAAAATCAACTCCTTGCCCAGCAGGCCGCCCTTCAGCGCGCCGCCCTGCTGCAGGCCCACATGCCCGAGCTGGGCGGCATGTCAACCTTCCCGGATCCATCTACCGCATCGACCGTGGCCGCCCCGAGCTCGGCCCACCCCTTCATTGACCCTGCATTGTTCGGCAAGGATCGCCCCGAGTGCTACCCCTGGAATCTGCCCACCAAGCAGGTTGACCAGAAGCCTTTCCCCGGCTCGTTCCCGCGTATGTAAACTTCCCCCTCCCTGGCGCCTAGCCGCTAATCTACACTTTGTAACCTACCTCTAACCTCCTTGTTTGTAAGTTGTCACTTTTTAACCCACTGCTGTACGTGTGTAACGCCAGCGGCCTTGTTTTACCCTTTTTCTTCTTTTATATGCTGTTCTTTAATTGCCCTGTCTTTTCTTGTGCTTAACCCGATTTGCCACTGCGGATATTTTGTTGGAGATTCGTATTTTTTGCCCAAGATTTCAAATTGTTGGATGGATTTTGTTGATCGGCTGGAGTTGAGGGTTGGCGTTCGAGATGGAATAAAGATTGTTGATTGTAAAAGCGTGGAGCCTGTTTTTGACGGAAGCGATGTTCGCTTTGTTTACATATTTCGTTTATGCGGGCTACGAAAACGGGCTATTTACGTTTGGATGGTGCCTCATGGCTGCCATCGATTCGGCCTGTTTTTCTTTGCGCCCAGCGTGACGGTTCCGTGAAACTCGCTTTGCCGGTTTCTGTTTGCTCTTTTTGAGCTCGTGCAAAAATCAATCGAATCTATCCGTAGGCACAATATACTTGAAGGTATCGCTAGTTTATTGCTAGTAGTAAGTCTACGTTTTTTTAGCCTATCTGCTTGCTAATATTCTTTTTCCTTTCCATTGCCTACCTTCTATTTTAGAAGACCCAAAATCTAGATGAAAATTTCAGTAAAATGCTGGCCAAATTGCTCCTACTTGGCCTTATCGGCTACACAGCCGCCGTGCAACACTTTTCAGTGAAGGACGATAAATATTGCTTGATTCTGGAGGCGGATATTGAGGGAGAGGTGAGTCAAATTTCAAATTGAGTATCAGTTATCCCTTAAAGTCGTAAAACATTAAAAAGACTGGTTGAAGCGCACCGAAATAAATACCATGATCCTTTTAGCTCAAATGGCCTGCGGGAAACCAGACGGAAACGTTCAAGTGGAAGCTCGACCAGACGAAGAGCACCAACGGCTCGTGCGTCGGCAAGTCGGCCGCCGGGCTCAAGGCCAACTCCATCGAGGTTTTTGTTTACGTTAAAACTTAAAATGGTGTTTGCTTTTAGATTCAATTCGATCCAAGCGAAGTTAGTTTTAACCCTATTATTTTTTGGTTTTGTTAACGGTGTTTTGCCTTACTAATTCCATTGCACGGCGTGGCTTGCTTTCATTAAAATTCTCAAAAATTAAGTAACCTGATTGTTTCAGATCGTGTTCCTGCCTTTTGACAAGAATGCCACGTCATCGACCGATCAGCCGTGGATTCTGACGATGGAGTTCGAGTAAGTAAAAAGATGAAAAGCCAAAGCTTAACGATAAGTAAACAAAAGTTTCTGCTTTCTTCTGGAACTTAAATTAGTCTAAAAAATATCGAAAAGCTTATTTCAGAAAAGCCGACAACGGAACCTACGATGTGTCGAGCTGGTCCCTGCAATTCCAGCCGCGCAAGGGCTTCATGCACTCCGGCCAATACAAAAAATCGGCCGATGCGTCCCCCGATTTTGGAGCCGTAGACAAGAACGGTTTTAAGGTATCATAAAAGACCCATAAAATACAATTATCCATATTGTTTAGTGCTCCGACATCGGGCTTGCTCTCGATCACGATTCAGTCGTCTCGTTGAAGTCGGTCCGCGCCGTCGCCTTTGCATCGTACGAGAAGGACGAGTTCCCCGCTGGACAGAGTGAGTTAGAAAACGTAGCTTACTTGTTAGTTTTTCGTAGACACTTACGAACGTTCTTTGCGTCAATAGGTGTAGATGTAACGATCCAACGCCGACCATGGCCTTGTCTTTTCACTCTTACACCTAACTTCTACTTAATAAAACCATACCGATTCTAGTTTACGAAGTCTGCCGTCTTGACTCGCGCACGTCTGACATCGTCCCCATCGTTGTCGGAGCCGCCCTTGCCGGTCTTGTCGTCGTCGTCCTGATCGCGTACCTCGTCGGCCGCGCCCGTGCCAAGCGCCAGGGATATGCCTCCGTTTAAATCTTTATTAACTCATTATCAGCATCCTTCTGTTTTTCTCCTCTGTTACCTTGAAATTACATTAAATCCCATTTTTGCTCAGCCATACCTTTGTCGTGAGAGACGAACGCTAGACGTGTACCTCCCCCTGATAGCCATTTTAGGTGCCTTTCGCAACCCAAGCGAACTCTGGATTGGTAACTTTCCGTAGTTTTTCATTGCGTAATCGATTATATCAGTAAAAAAATAAATCAAAAAGTTACCAATACCTTGAATGCCCTCCAATGTGATGACGATTGCAATAGTGTTTTGCTACACCAAATCCGCTGATTTTTGCGTTGTGACCTCGTGCCTTGTTTGGCGCCAATAAATAGAATGTTTGATGCTATATACACGAAATTTAGCGTGCCTTACAAGGTATTAAAGGGATAACAAAAAATCCGCCGGATTTTAGTTTACTTTTAGATTACCGTGGCTTATTTATTTTTCATTTTTCCTTGGAAAAAGCCCAAAATCGGCTCAATGGCTCTCCAAATGATGACTAATCACTTATTTTTCTTGCAAATAACCATAAAAATTCTGCGCTCATTACCCAACTGCTCTCTAGCACGTTTTTATTTTTATCCTTGCGCAATTGTGCTCAGAAAAACACAGCCGATCGGATTAAAGGGTTCTTCACAAATTATTTGCTCTCAAGCTCCGTCAAATTCGAAATATGCTAGAGAAATTGACCCTATTTATTTTATTGATCATTATTGTATTAGCTGAGACCGCTAGTCGCTATTCGATTAAAGATGAAAATGGAGAAGTCATTGCCTATGCCAATTTTGAGAAAGCAGATTCTCCGGAAAAGCCGAGTAAGTTTTAAAAGTTGCATTTTCACGTTCTTTTCTTAAAAATGTTGTTCTTTTCTTAAAAAGGCTCAATATTATGTCGAGAATCGTTTTTTAGCATGTATCGGCTGCTCCCACGACGACCCTTGGGCCTCGTTGTGGATTTCGGCCGGCGGCGGCTTAGCTGCGATTGTCATTTGTGCATTGTTTTGTGTCGGAATATGCATATCTTCTCGAGAACCGGCACTCCGTGAATATAATGATTGCTAAATTATCAAAGTTCTAGATTGATCTGCTTAAATTAGACACGATTTACATTAGAAATAAAACACCATTTGAACGTCACTTCTGAAATCTTCTTGAATGTTGTGTTTCCATAATATGCGAATGATTTTTTATATGTTTCAGGGAGCAATAAAGTATTTATTGGGTTTCGTACGTTACAAGGAAAGATACGAAACGCGCGACAAGCATAGATTATACAATACATTTTAAAATAGACAAAGTTTAATTTTTGCTTATGGATTTTGACGTTAAAATTTTAGGAACTACGAGATCCGTCAAAACACATTTTATTGAATTTTGCGGTATCGCCAGTCTTAAATTAAGAATAAATGATAGTATCCTACTATATATAAAAAAATAGTGTCTGTGTGTGTGTGTGTGTGTATGACACTTTGCATGCAACTTCCGTCAGCGTGTCCGGAGGATATCTCAAGAATGGAAGGGATGAAGGGGGCGTATGATACGTCATTAGACGCGTAATGGCCTGTAGATGGCTGCACGCATATCAGATTTTTCAAAATCGATTGTTTTCGACATTAAAATTAAGTTTTTCCTTAAAAAACGGACATCCTCTTTGTTAGGAAAAATTAGCATGCGCCGGAAGTGGGATCAGCCTAGATAATCGGGGAGCGAGCGCCATTTTCATTTTTTGTCATCGGAAATCCAAAAATTATGCAAAATAAAGAACATCATAGGATTAGACGGGGCCAGGGTTGAAAAGTCGCGAAGCGGCTTTTCAACCCTGGTTAATCCCTAAATAACTAAAAAGCATCTAACTGGTTGTTGGAAAGCATTAAGCTGTTTTCAAAGAGCTTGTTTAATATATTATTCGAAACCGAGTTTCCGACCTCCTGATATATGTATTGTCCTAGGTACTACGGTATGTTATGAACTTTAATCAACGAGATTCCATAACGTTGCTGACTTTCGTTGCAATCTAATGTTCAAGGAGGTTCCTAGAACGGATGTATTTCCTTGCCAACCCCCTGCCCGATGTGTCACAATATCCTTATCCGCATCACCAACATCCCTTTCCCGACATCGAAAGGTTCACCTGTGTGTGCGATCTTTTACTTGCCACGAGCTTTTGAGATTGGTATTTAAAGGCCTGCATGAAGATGGGCCGGCGTCCGTCGGGGTGACGGACCGCCGCGGCGCTACCATCGACGCTTTCCCTCGCGTAGGCGCCCCCAAAACCCCCTCTCGCGTTTGAAGAAAGCAGTTTATTGGTTATAAGTTTTTCATTTAGCAATGTTTTCGACTAAAAATTTCCATAAACGAAGGACTGAGTGATACCCATCGATGGTAAAAATTTGAGCCGGGTTGGATAGAAGGCGGCCAATTTCTGGGCTATAAGGGGTTTTGGGATGCTGTTTCGGCTGAAAAAGAGTCGCATCGACAGCAAAACACCCCTGGAAAGGTGGAAAGTACGTTGCTATCCTTTAGCTAGATTTTCTACAACATTTTTGGCTATTATCTCTTCGAAATTGCATTATTTCTAATGGCAGTTTCGAAGCGGGCCAGATTCCCCCCAAGGCATTTGGGCAGCCTCCACCGCCCCTCCCCACTCGGCTCTTTTGGTATAGTTTGGTATAGTGGCTAGCGCATCAGACTGCGGGGCGGGCAACCCAGGTTCGACCCCTGTCCGGTGCAGCCTTCTTTGCTTTTTCACCCATGCGATCTTTCTGCAGCCCTTTAAGGGGAACAATAAAATGCGATGTTCACAATGTTTTAGACCCCTCAAAATCCAAGGATGCTGACAAACCTCTTCTTCCTCGGGCTCGTCGGGCAGGTCGCCGCCACGCCGGAAACATTTGTTGCCCTGAATATGAGTGACCGGACATATTGTGCTGCATTCACGACCCAGATTGAGGGCCAGGTGAGTCGCAGAAAATTTTTTTTGGTCGCTCTAACCCGCGAGCAAGTAACCATAAAGTTTATGGCCCAGGAATTAAAATTTAAAGGAATTAAGAGCCATCAACCTTCTGGAGACCCCAAAAAGGTTAACAGTTTTGACCACTGCCATACATTTTCGATAATTTTAAATTTTTATGGACTTCTATGCGCCTAGCGTTGGCGTTGTTAGCGTTGAAGTCAAGACTAAAAACAATCTTGTATAGTTTAGAGCTGCTAAGTTGGATCCATCAATTCGGCTCGCCCGTTGACTTAAAACGAATTTTTCCATGTTTCGAATTTTTGATTTTTTTTGGCATTTCAAGCTCGTTTTTAGCAGTTGTTGTCTAATACATTTGAAAACATGCGATGCTCTATGTTTTGTAGCTGAAACTCAACAACGACAACGAGACGTCTACCTACAACTGGAAGATGGGCGGAAACGATTCGCATGCCCTCGACTTCTGCTCGGCAAAGTCGGACCGCGGCCTGGATGCTAACGTTTTTTTGGTAGAGAATTTAGTTTTTGTACATGGTCGCCACCCAACCAGATTCCGTTCGATCAGCCGGAAATCACGCCGGATAGCAGCTTCTTTGTCGCCGCCGAGGGCAATAAAACGGAGCCCTGGATCGCGATCATCGGATTTGTGCAAGTTTCATCAAATTTGGATCCAATTGATTTTTTATAATATAATCTAAAATTTTTAGAATTTTTGCTTTGGTAAACCGCTACGAACGAATAGCAGTGGGAGCAAAATAGAGGGGATATTCATGATTTATCAGTAATAGAAATCGTTTAAAATATGAGACTTTCAGGCTATAAAAAAGCTCCTAGTATATTTTTCGGTTTTCTACGCGCATTTGTGCATCAAAGTTTTTCTGCAATAGAACTTCTACATGACATTTTTTGCGTTAAAATCATTGGATTAGTATATTTCCAGCGCTCTAGCGAATGGCACTCATGAAATCCTACAATACTTTATAATATGCTGAATGGTTATTGGTTAATCCTCCCCCTTCTCCGGGTACAGCTAGACCCGCCAATTTACGGCCTTTTAGAATTCACCCAAATGGCAGCTACGAATTGGAGCACTGGGCGCTGATCGTTCAGCCCAGTTCAGGCATTCCGCTCGTGAATGCCCTCACTCTCAAACAGCCCCAAAACGTGTCGGGCGTGATGTTGGGGGCTGGAGCGGATGGATATTCGGTAGGGTTAACAAGGAGTCGCTTTTAGGCGCTTTGGGAGTTTTTGGACGGGACCTAGCTAGTTCGATAGAGAAAAAAGTTCTGAGCAACATACCATTTTCAAAAAGTGCTGATCGATAAAGGCATTTTAGAAAATTGAATTTAAAATTCGCGCTTTTTTTCTAGTTTTCTGGTCCATTTCCTGGGTTCATGTCGTTTTCGGGGATGGGCCAGACGCCATTCATAACCTTCCGCCAAGGCATCGATCACAGGTTGCATTGGTGTATTGGTAGCGCGCTTGCCTACCAACTTTTTAACATTTTTTTTGCCTCGGGTTCGAATCTTCGCGCTGGCTAACCGCTTGCTTTTGGTCCTTGAACGCGTTATAGGTGCATGAACTTTTTATTAGCAAAAAAGCAAAGAGTTAACGACCAATAAGAATAGAACTTCTGGCAAAAGTCAAAAAAAAACTTCGTAGGCCAACGCACTAGCCACTTGGCCATGTCTAGGACGGGATCCAGGACGCGTGAATGTGACAGGGGCGGTCGACCGACGCAAATCACCTCAAATCACCACAAGGGTCCGGATACCGGGAAAATTTTTAGTTAAATTAAATTTTCTAAAACACCTTTATCGATCAGCACTTTTTGAAAACGGGATGTTGCTCAGAATTTTTTTGCTCTATCGAACTAGCTAGGTCCGGTCCAGAAACTCCAAAAGCACCCAAAAACGACTCCTTGTAAGTCGGAAAGATGTTAAAATCTTGTTTTCAGTGCGCGGAGGTTCGATTGCCGCTTGAAAACGGATCGGTGATGGTGTTCAAGAATATGCAGGTGGCCGCTTTCGAGAGCTTCAGGCTATCGAAATTGCTGGATGGACTGGGTAGGTTTGAGACTGGGAGAGACCGATCGGGAGAGAGAGAGAGCGACAGAAAGGATGTTCGTTCATTGAAAATTGAGAACTTCAGAATTCGTCGACTTCAAACATCTCCTCCTCATTTCCTCCCTCACAGTGCTTATCGGGGCCTTCGCTGCCGTCGTCGTTGCCTGTGCTTTTGTTGGTGTTGGCGTCGTTCTCTACAAGCGTCACCTTGAACGCACGGCGGGATACGCTGATCTTTGATTGCTAAAATTATTATTGTTACTTTTCGATTCCTTGGTTTACTCGTTTTCTACAAATTGTGTTACAATTCATGACGGGTAGTTCCACTAGAAAAATTAATTTTTGGTGCTTGCATATTCCCGGGGGGGGACCAACTTTTTTCCTGTCGGCCCTGGTGGGGATAGTAATCAAATATAAAGTGTTTTAACATTTCATTTTAGCAAAATTTAAGCCGATTTTAATCGGAAAAACTTTTTAAAAAGTTAGAAAAACTCTTGAAAAAGTCGAAAATTTGGTCATTTTTCGGCCAGAAAATTTTTTTCGACCTGAAATTAATGTTTAGGTAAATTTTGTAAAGCTTTTATGCTTAGGAATAGCTATAAACATTTTAGAAACACTTCCACCATTTATATAAAAATTCTAGGCTTGGGCCAAAAAAAGTTCGGTCCCCCCGCGAATTCTTTCCCCCCCTCGGAATACACAAGAACCTAATTTTTAAGCGTGATTAAAGTTTCATTTTAAATTTTTTTTGTTAAAATGGTTTAAAAATGAAGTTTTTTGTGATTTTCCGATTTTCTTTTTGTTTCCAGAATAAAGAAACTTTTTATGTTCACAAACTGCAAAACGCAAGAAGGGGAGGGGGTCATTATTTTTGCTTTTACATCTTCTTGTACACCCCGGCGAGCTGGCCGCCGGGGTGTACAAGCACCAAACCAAAACAAAGAGAGCAGTGGTGGTGGGCGTCGAGGAACGTGTCCATGCAACAGGGCAGGCAACTGCACAGGCAGAAGGCACTAAAATACTTGATTTAATTTGAGATTTAAGATTTAAAAGTCAAAACTAACGCCGTCCAGAACATCAGACATCTTCTTGTCCCAGCCTCGCGCTCAACGCGGGTGAAACCCGTTTAAATTCGGGTGATACGTGACCAGGGTTACGGTAGCTAGGACAAGATATACCGCTAAAAATGACAAAACATGTACGAGATCTCGAGGTTTTCCTAGTTCGTCCCCACACATTCAACGCAGGTGAAGCCGATTTAAACTCGAGTCATACGGTGTGACCTGGATTACGGTAGGTATGGCAAGATCCAGTGCTAAAAGGCGGAAAATTTTATACATCCTAGCGGATCCTTGATCGGAAAAAGGCGATCCTAGCTAGCTAGAACAACTAGCAAGTTCGCTGTCTGTGAGGAGCACGAGAGGTCGAGTAGTATCCGACCTGATATTAGTTTGGCTCACATTCAGATCGTACAAGTCAAATTCAGATTCGAAATACATCCAATCGAATACAAACCTTACTACATTCTTATGGTATCATATTAATTTTAATTATTGAGATTAGATAACGATTCACCTTTCGTTGAAATCTAATGTACAATGAAGTTCCTAAGACCGCTGCATTTCCTTGCCAATCGGCGATGAGTCACGATATCTCTACCCTCATCACCAACATCCCTTTCCCAAAAGCGAAAAGTTCACCCGAGTGCGCCATCTTTTTCTTGCAACGGTCTTTTGAGATGGGTATTTAAGGTGGACAATAAAATGGGAGAAATTCACAAGGTTTCAGACCCTAAAAACCCCTTCTGAAGATGTTGACCAACCTCTTCTTTCTGGGTCTCGTCGGGCAAGCTGCTACGACGCCGGAGACGTTCGCTGCCCTGAATATGAGTGATGGGACGTTTTGTGCTGTTTTTACGACTGAAATTGAGGGCCAGGTGAGCTAGAGGACCCTAGAATACATTATTTGAGTGCAACAGTTTGCTAAATTCTTATTTTGCAATTTTTCACGCGTTTTCAGTGATTTATAATTGTGTCCAAAATAGGCTTTTTCACGTTCTTTTGCATCATCGGGGGCTGGGGTTATCAGGGGAAAACAAACTTTTCACTATTATCTAATTTTTCTAATTCTCAAAAACTTTACCAATTTGTATGAACAATACTTTTCTTTGCTCAGAACAATACTCTTTCTAGCTCAAGCTCAACGCCGACAACGAGACGTCCAGTTACAGCTGGAAGATGGGTGTGCGCGGGAATGACTCGCATGCACTCGGCCTGTGTTCGGTAAAGTCGGACAGCGGCCTGGATGCTAATGCTTTTTTGGTATGAAATACCGTTAAGTTTGGCCTAAATCGTCATCTAGATTCCGATCGACCAGCCGGAAATCACGCCGGATAATAGCTTGTTTGACGACGGTGAGCTTAACAAAACGGAGCCCTGGATTGCAGTCATCGGGTTTGCGTGAGTTTCTAAGCTCGTATAGAATGGTTCTTTCGCATTATCGGGGGGCTAACCTTTTTAACCATTGATTTTTTTCTATTCCAGATTGAGGAAACTCTAAGGTGTTTTCTCCTGGTCCAGACGTCACTAGACGTAAAAACGTCAGATTTTAATTAAAAGAAAAAACAACCATTTTTCGACGAAAACTGGCTGAATTTCGACTTAATAACATTAAAAAATTCTTTTTCTACTTGAAATATAGCTAAATTTTGCCAAAAACATTAGTGAAATACTAACTATCACAATCCGGGCCATTCCATGACTGACGCAAAAATTTTGCCCCGCTCGATATCGCGAAAAAACGCTTAGAATTTTTGCTTACTCTTTTATTTTTTTAGACAACACGCAAATGGCAGCTACGAGTTGGAGCGTTGGGCTCTGGTCGTCCAGCCCAGGCCCGGAATGCCGCTTGTCGAACCCGTCACTCTCAAGGCGCCCGAGAATGCTTCGGGAATCATGTTGGCGAGTGGAACGGATGGATATTCGGTAATCCCCGTCAAGAAGACCTTATTAATTTTGTGTTTAGTGCTCTGAGGTTAGGCTACCGCTAGAAGACGGTTCGGTGATCGTCTTGAAGAATGTCAAGGTTGCCGCCTTTCAGAGCTTCAAGGAGCCAAAGTTTCCGGAGGGACAGAGTGGGTTTTGAAATAAAGAGAGCATGTGAGAGATTGAGAGAGAGAGAGAGTGAGAGCGAGAGAGAGAGAGAGAGAGAGAGAGAGAGAGAGAGAAAGGTAGAGAGAGTGAGCGAGAACGAGAGAGGACGAAATAGTGAGAGAGCCAGAGAGCGAGAGAGAGTGAGAGAGAGTGAGTAAGTGAGAACCTATAAAAACTTTAAATAATCAATCGTTTTTCAGAATTCGTCGACTGCAAGCATGAAGTCGTCACGTCATCGTCCCTCCCTGTCCTCATCGGGGTCTTCCTTGCCGTCGTCGTTGCCTGTGCTTTCGTCGGGGTAGGAGTCGTGCTTTACAAGCGACACCTTGAACGTACTGAAGTCGGGTACACTGATTTCTAAGTTTTAAACGACACAACCGCCTCGCTGAGTGAAAATAAGCTAATACTTTAGTTGTGATACCTTTCCAATCATTGACTGGCTACATCTTTCCAATTCAGCTAAAGAAAAAACAAGTTAATCGCGCCTCGGTGCCTTTTTTGAGCGTTTACTACTTCTTGTTCGTTCTATTTTTTATGTGGTACCTTACGGACGGGTTGTTTTAAATTTAAGTTTGGTTTTAAATTTTAGATGTTTAATTTAATTTTTCTTGACCTTCTTCGAGCTTAACACTGAATAAAAAGCCTTTTTATGTTCACAAACTGTAAAAAGCAAAAAGGAGGCGGTCGTTATTTTTGCTTTTACATCTTCTTGTACACCCCGGCGAGCTGGCCGCACTTGGAGCAGTGGTGGTGGGCGTCGAGGAATGCGTCCATGCAACAGGGGAGGCAACTGCACAGGCAGAAGGCACTAAAATACTTCATTTAACTTTTAAAGGTCAAACTAACGCCGTCCAGAACATCAGACATCCACTGACCCAGGCGCAAGTACCAGCCTCGCGCTCAACGCGGGTGAATCCCGTCTAAATTCGGGTGATACGTGACCAGGGTTACGGTAGCCGGGACAAGATATACCGCTAAAAATGACAAAATATGTACTAGATCGGGAAGGTTTTCCTAGTTCTTCCCCACGCGTTCAACGCGGGTGAAGCCGGTTTAAACTCGAGTCATACGGACCTGGATTACGGTAGGTATCGCAAGATCCAGTGCTGAAAGGCGGAAAAACGTGTCCCAGATTTCTACTATTTCTACTCCTAGCTAGTTAGAACAACTAGCAAGTTTGCTCTCTGTGAGGAGCAGGAGGGGGTCGATTCCCCACGAGCGAAAAATTTCGTCATTTCTGATGCGTTAACGGGGGGCGGAGAGGGTTTGGATAGCCCCCCCCCAAATATGGAAGGTAGCCGGCGTTGCCTTTTACAACGCCGCCCCCCCCCCCTTCCCCATTAACGAACCAGAACCGTCTCTTCCTTTCAAAAAAAATTGTTAGGTGCTGCTTTGCCAGGACAATCATATTTTCAAAGGTAGTGTCTCAAAATTTAAATACTGCTAGGTACCTTTCCACAATGAGCACAAGTGATCTCCTGGGATAGCTCGCCGAACACCATCGGGCCACGGGCCACCGGGCGAGGGGCGTGTTGGCGCTGAAAATCAGATTTCGATCCGCATCCTGGACCCCGCATTTTTGCTGGCACCATCCCTTAAAGGGGCTCCGAAATCTGGTCCACCCCCCTGGCAAATAGCCAGATGCCGCCGCAACGCGACCGCGAAGCATGTTCTCTATTCCCTGTTTCGAAGGGAAAACGCGTAAATTGCAAAATTCTGACGATTTTCTGTAATCCTCATTGAATTTTGATCAGCTAAAACTTTTTAATTATCAAAATTGAACAGAGAATCACCGAGATCGAGGGATTGAGTGCCTTACAAGGCATTACGACATGGAATCGCCGCGCGCACAAAAAGGCGTTTTCGCCGCGAAAACATGTCCGTTTTTCTCAAATATTTTGCGGTTTTTCGCAACGAAACAAATTTTCTGGCACTTCCAGAAGCAATCCATTCGTTTTTTGACCAATAGGTTCAATCCCCGAACACGCGAATTTCGACTTCCTAGCCCCTTTAAAAACGGAAGCTTACCGGTGCCGGAGCCTGGGGCCTTGGGTGGGGTTGGTGTCCCGGCTGGACGTGGTAGACGGGTTGGGGGTACTGTGGCTGGGGCGCCGGGTGGGGGTGGGCGGCGTACTGAAGGTTTTGAAGATCTCGTGGAGTTAGATAAATTTAATTTTTGCACTATTGATTGGCAGTATCCTTTAAAAAATACATATTTTGGTATTTAGCCATTAGGCTTGTATAAACAATTTTATGGCCGGAAAATTTACCGGTTGATTGGGAGGAGCACCGTAGGTCGGTTGGAAAGCAGGGGGCTGGCTTCCGACTAGATTCTGGAAGCTTGGAGGTACGGTAACGTTCAACTTGAAAGCCTTTTAATGATATTATAAACAATTGCCGCCTAAAAGTGACGAGATCTATCGTTTTTAAGCGCATTAAACGATTACGTTCGAAAATCAAGACAAGGCCAAGAGAAAATACTTACAGCTGGGTACTCGGACATTTTTCCAGAAAATGATTCTTCTCGCCGCGAAGGGCAAAACTGAAATGAAGAGTGTCAATTTCGGCTGCGAATCACGCCCAGCTGGCCCGCCAAAATATTTCGTGACGACGCAGGGGGCGCAGAGGTGGTGGTGAAAAATTGGAAACGCCATTTCTTAATCAGGAATTTTTTGGGGTGACATTATGTTTTTTTCAGGGGTTTTAGTCATTGTTGAAGATTAAATCCAAATGAAGAGTCTGCAGAATCAAGCAAAAAATCATTTTTGTGTGGTTTTCTTGATGTTGGTAACGAAAAGACTTTATTTTGGCAGCAAAAACGTAATAAATACATATTAAACCCGTTTATAACTTGTTAATAGTTGGCATGCGCTTATTCCAGAGCCGATAATCGTGATAGTAGGTGGCGAGGACGTAGGACATTGTCGTCGGATTGCTACGTACTTCGCGCATCCACCTGGAAAATCAAGACACGTCTAGGATCCTAATTAGCAAGGATTAATAACCCAGAATTTATAGCTGCCATTAAGTTATTTTTTAGTGAAATTTAATATAGAACTTCAAAGCTTATACCTATCGTATCTTCCCGCCTTCTTCGGATCGAGCCGCGCCTTGTTGGTGGTGGTTTTCTTGAGCCGCCGAAGTGCCTAAATCATTTAGTTTTTAGCTTTTGCGTTTAGTTAATGATTTATTAGTATTGAATTTCAGTATTTAGATAATATATTGTGTATAGATTACGGTACATACCTTTTCAATCCAACTCCGCGGCGCCTCAACTTTCCGGAAAACGCGTCGCAACCGTTTTATTAACACTTCCGGTTTCTTCGAATAGGCGATAGGCACGAATTCTGTGGGATAGGCACCAATATCGCAGGACCTGAAAGATGACAAATTGGTGGAAAAGCCCGCTTCGCGGTTGTTTCCGAGGTGCGCATATACAGCTAATTTTTGAAGACTTCTAAACTACAAAAAAAATCCCGAATTTGCAGGTACCAAAAGTGCCTTTGATTTGGTAAGGTTTGGACTTAAAAAGCAGCTTGACAAATTCTATATACTTCCGCCTTACTTACCATGATGTCGGCGAGATGTGATGCACAAAAAATTCGGGGGTAACCGCTCCCTTCGGCACCGTCCCAAACTGTAAGTATTCGTAAAATGCCTTGGCTGCCGTGTGGATCGACTCCCCCGCCTTGCCGCATCTTTTTAACGATCTAAAAACTATTATAAAAATTGTAAATAGCGTCTTACATGCAAACATGGCCGTACATCGACACGAACCGGTCAACCGGATCCCGCCAGACAAACATCTTGGTGTTATTCAGGTTCTCCCACCCTTTCAGATAGCTCATCTTGGCTCGGCCGTGTGAGCGGAGACACCAGTTCCTAAAAATTGGCGATTGGTAGAAGAAGGATTCCGATACTTTCCGGTTGTCAGATCGTCTTCGACGTCTTTGGTGATATTCATACCGAGTTTTCGTAGTAACAACTCGCAAAGCATCTGGAATAATGATTATAACGCTGCTCACTTTTTTTAAAATCATTTAGCTGATGGCATTAAACGAAAATTATAGCGAATTAGCTAAAATAAAAAAATTCAAACCTTTTTCATCTGCCTCGAGTTTGATTTTGGTGTGGATGAATAGACCAGCTTTCCGACAAACTACAAAATACGGTACGTCGCTAAGGGTTTCGAAATTACCATTCTCGAGCAACTGGGCAGCCTTCGAATCGGCACAGGCCAAAGTAGATCGGTGCCGTTTTCGATGTACCAGAAGGCGTTCTGAAATGCTGATTGGATTAAGCCTTATTGCAAGCCTAAGCCTAACTGTAAAGTGTTTTTGCTCAAGTTTTCGGGACCAAGTGCATCTTGTGCAGAATTTTTCGCTGATACCGAATCCGTTTTCCAAACTTGCTGCGGACTTTTATTTAAAAAGTCATTTTTGGTGCAAATTAAGCTTGAAAAAGCCAAAAATTCGGCCACTATTCCCTCCATCGTTCTGCCCATTCCCGGGGCCCTGAAGTACTCTGTCACAGCTCCCCTCCCGGTTGGCACCATGGAGCATTGGCAAAGTACTCGCTTGCCAAGCGCAGGGCGGCGGTTCGGATCCCCGCCCTGCGCCTTTCTTTTGCTTTTTGCATAAAAAAAATTAATTTTTCATAAAAAAGCTTGTTTTGACTTTTAATATGCTTGTCTCGCCAATCTCTAGCCAATTTTGAGTGTGAAATTGATCAGGAAAATCGAAAACGATAACGGTTCTTTGATTTTGGTGAAAAACACTACCATAACTGCTGTAAAACTTTCAAAATAAAAGTCCGCAGCAAATTTGGAAAACGGATTCGGAAACAGCGAAAAATTCTGCACAAGATGCCCTTGGTCCCTAATCGGAACTCCAACTTGAGTAAAAACACTTTACAGTAAGCCTAAGCGTAAAGGTAAGTCGAAGTAAAAAACCCACCTTCGGATTCGCATCGGACACCATCTCATAATGATTCGGTCCTATCGTCGTACCGGCCAGTCGCACAATTTGAAATGCCATAACCCAGCCAAAATACAATAGCAAAATGTACATCGGGCGTAATCGCAAAAATGACGTCGGCTCCGTGCAAATCGCAAGATATGGCGGTGTCTGACCCTTGGTACATTCTCGAACGTGCACATCCGGGGATCCCGTCGGCATCTGATTTTTGGTTACGGGACCGGAATCGGGGGCTGTAATAAATAGCTGACCGGCTGGTTACGGCTATGCAAATTCTATATAGACAACCCGGGAGCGGGACTACCCGCGCGCCTGTGCTCCACCTATCTACGCAACATCTTTAGGCCATGCAACCTGATGTGTCTGTCAGCAGGATTCTTGTCCTGCACTTGCCCCTCCCCCCACACTCCGCTCCAGACAGCAGCACCACATCTGCGATTTCATTCTCGCAAAAATTTGGGCAAAAGCCAGAAAGTTCCGATGGCCAGCCGTGGACAACGTCTGCGGCAAGTTCCAGGAGACGGTGGGATATTGGGGAGAAAGTTCATGAATTCGGCGTACAAAATACTAGGCGGCACTGACTAGATTAAACATGTAGATATTCAGCACCTTTCCCTCGCAGAAAATAACACTACTTCCTCACTTAGAACTCCTGATCTGACCGTACAAATACAGCCGGTAGAAAAAGCAAAAAGCCTACGACACTCGGGATTCCCAAGCCGTCTCCGATCCAAGTACTAACCGAGCCCAACGTTGCTTAACTCGGCAGATCGGACGGGATGCCGTGCTTTCAACGTGGTATGGTCGTAGGGGAAGGGGTAGCTGTGGGGAAAGGCGTGAAAAGTCCAAAGAGAGGCCAAAACAGTGTCCTCAATTGGGAGGGAGCGTCACAGAGATTTAGTCCCCTTTCCAACCTTCCCCTCGCCTACGACCATACCACGTTGAAAGCACGGCATCCCGTCCGATCTGCCAAGTTAAGCAACGTTGGGCTCGGTTAGTACTTGGATCGGAGACGGCTTGGGAATCCCGAGTGTCGTAGGCTTTTTGCAAATTTTTGCACTTAAAGGGCTTTAGCATGATACTCTTGTGTATTATTTCACAACTCTAGTACCCTTCGATCTTTTATGAGCAGGGCGGGCTTCACCAGCGGCATCACCACTTATTTATGCGGTTTTTACGTGCGGATGTACGTACGGAAACAATGAATGGCCTGAAAAATTTAACTACACGTTTTTTCCTTTAAAGGAGTTGTTTTATCGAAAATGCAAATCCGAAATCGCCTTTTATACCGCTGAACTCGGAAAGTGAGTCTTCTTTGTAGCGCGGGTAGGCCGTGATGGGAAGGCATAAATGTTCATTAGTCATCCAACACATAGTCTGGTGAACCAACCCTATAAAAATTGTGAACTTCTCACCCCTGATGCGGACAAATAGTTTATAGCATGGTGCCATATAAAACAAGCGGTTTGAAACCGCTGTTTTTGGCAAGATCCCGACAACGCGGCACCAAAATTGTTTGCTTGCTTGTTTCCGGAAAAGCACATGGCCCCGGATTGACGTGTGGTGCGTGGTCTACGTATCGGAGCGTAGCGCAACATTTGCGCTGACTAATACAATTAGGATGATGATGAAATCCGGTGCTTTCGTCAGCAACTTGCATTTTTGCAAGAGCATGCGCTTAATTTTATGTTTTTGAGATGTGGCCACACCTGCGTTCCTTTGAAAATTTTTATTATGTCCAAAAGCAGTAAAAGCACACGGTAAAGCAGGCGGGGAAAGTGGCTACATGGGATGTTTATTAGGGTACAAGCGAAATGCTCAATAAAAACATTGTTGGCCGTCAGGGGGTTAGTTTCCGAAATGCTCCGTTTTGACGCCGCCGACGGTGTGCCAGACCATGGTGCCCTCGTGGACAAAGGAGGTTTCCTAAAAAAATGGATAACGTTAAAAACTATAAAAACTATCGTAGGCGAGGGTAGCTTTGGGGAAAGGGATGAAAAGATCATTGGCCCGAAACAGTGTCATCAGTTGAGAGGGAGCAGGTAGAAGAGCGCGTGAGATACTTAGCCTGCTTCCCCACTCATCCCTGCGCCTACGACCATACCACGTTGAAAGCACGGCATCCCGTCCGATCTGCCAAGTTAAGCAACGTTGGGCTCCGTTAGTACTTGGATCGGAGACGGCTTGGGAATCCCGAGTGTCGTAGGCTTTTTGCTGTTTTTTGATGGCCCAAATCTTCCACGATAAGAAAAGGGGCCCAAAAACGCCTTTTGCCAACAAACAGCTGTCGATTTCATCATTATCCTACGTGCCACGATCAACCTCACTCGCCACGCCCCGATACGTAGAACAGCTTTTACAAGTAAACCCAACGTCGCGTGAGGATTAGTGAAGAAAGGGAAAGTATTGTGAGATGGGAGGAACGTGGTGGATTTGGAGAAGGCGACCGTGGGTTTTAATAGCGACATAATATTTCCAACGAAAACAAGTGCCAATGATTGCATCAGTCAGCGTGGAAAGACAAGGG